GGGTTGTATTGGGATAATGGAAAAAGAATTGCAAACTACTATTGAGGGCTTAGGGTATAGTCCCCCTTGAGTAGATAGAATATGGGGTATATGGGGATCTTATTATAATGTACCAAAGGCCATGTTCTATCTACTTAAGGGGAGCTATAGCCTTATTTCTGCCAGCCAATAATCACCATGGCAGCGGCATCAACAGTTGTGTCATTCCTACTTCTATCATTGGCAGATGCAGCATCATTTGGCAGCAGGGGAAGGAGTAGGAGTATTCGCAATGCTGCAACGCTTCAGCATGCTGCAGCTTACCAGCAGAAGTGACACGCCGAAAAACTGGATCTGGCGAGCTAGCCCGACACAGAAGTAACAACTGAGCCCGGAGCCTAAGCAAAGAACGCCACATCATTCGACCCCAAACCCTGCGCTCCATGACCAAAACTCCTTAAGGCCCTGACCCGACAGAAAAATCCCCTACCATGGGCTCAGAACATTGAACTCTGAAGCCCAAGCCCTCCAGGATTACAACAGCTTGCCTCCTTCGATCCGAACATTCTGTCGGTAGTTGTAGTTGCAGCAGTGCGCAATCCACATGGGCTCACGGTAGCCTGGGCGGCAACCTATCACTCATTATCTGCAAAGCTGCGCCGAACGTGTCTACGATGTCGTTGTAGCGCTACTGTCGCTTCAGCAAGAGAACGGGTCGTCTTACCTTTTCGTCTACCTCTGTGACCTTTTCTGCGTTAGCCTTCAGATAGGGAGTCTTTCGCCACACGTCATTGCTTAGTCCTCATGTCTTTCCCTTGTGCACTCTAGCCGTTTCCTTGTCTTGTTAACCTGGTGTCTTTAGTTAGCCTGCTACTTTTATTCCCCATGCTGCTAGTCCCACAATTGCTGCCTTTTCTTGACTGCTTCATCTTGATTTGAAAAGTTCGATTGCAAGGGCTTATGATCAATGCCCCTGTTACAAAACCTTAGCCTGCTCCAAATCTTGTCCCAATGTCTTGCGCTGCCGCTGGCTATTGTGAAGGCATGTCAAAGCTCTGAGGAGCTTCTTCATGCATCACTACCCAGATCTAGCGCACATCGCTGCACGCAAGTAACAAACAAGTGTCAATGTGTAAAAGTCGAAAACAAGAGGGTACGGGTATGCCTTATTCAAGCTACCGGTTCTGAGCTTCTATCCCAAGAGTCCTAGAGGCACACAGACCAGGTGTTTGCAAGCTCCAAGCCTCGTGCTTAGTCAGTGGCTTGGGGTTGAGAGGTCTGTCACTAGACCAGGATACTAGACAGATCGTGGCCCTTCAAAGAAGCGATGCAGTCCACGGGATTTTCTGCTTTGAGCATTAGACGACGTGTGCTACATCAGCAGTCATCCAAGTCAAAACATCTTGTTTTTTTCAACTCAAGGCATCTTCAGCAAATGACGGCCAAGAGGTTAGCGCGAAACTAGTTTGCGCACTACATATCACTTCCAACCGACAGCCAGTAGGCACTTGTTGATTACGCGGATGACCGACGATGACTGCGCGAACAGCTCATCCGGCATCTCCACCTCCATCTCCTCATAAGGAGGATGAAGCTAACATAAGATCTTGCGCAGATTGTGCAGGGGGTTTGCAAGGGATCGCATTCAAGACCGACTGCATGAATCGAAGAAGTTGAAGTCGCGTTCAGAGACTGGGGCTGGCAATTTTTTAGGATGTATCATGCAAACGACAGTCACTGCAACTCATCCAGACAGCGCGTCTGTTGGCCCTTCTATCTCGGGGCAAAGGCCTTTTCTTGAGTTGATATGTTGGGGGGCTCAACGCAAAGGATCTGGAGCTACAGCTAAAACGACACGGTGAACACTCACTGATGCCGCTCACAACCCCCCGGCGGACTCCTTCGTGGAGTTCTTCAAGTTGGCGGCCAAGTACTTGTTGGTCCGCTTCAAGGCTTCGGCAGTTGTGACGTTCAGAGCCTGGATAATACAAGTGCAAGCTCCTCAAATTTGGGGTAGCCTCAGCAATCGAAAATGGTCCTCCTTGTTTTGACAAACCTGCAGAATTCGCCGGGATTTTGCCGAAGAAGGGCATCGGCAAACATGGGGTCCGCGGTACTTCAGAGTCTGCACTGACGAAGCGCGGAGGGCTGCCGGTGCCCCCACACAGACAAACAACTTCATCGAAAAATCCAGAACTTGCGGGTTCAACTTGGCAATACGCTTACCCCTACACGTGACAGCCGACCTGCTATCATGGAGGGTTCCCCTTCATTGGCACACCATGCTGGCAGAAGCCATGCAAATGGCTAGGTTGCTGCCAAGGCTGCTGTCTCGTTGCTGGTGTTTACCGAAGAGGGCGCAAGGCCATCCTGAATGGAGAAATGGCGAATCAAAACATGCCAACACTTGACCCACACTGCGAGGAGAATCTTAGCTAGCACATCTGGACCTCGGCCTCAAAACACGAAAGCAATCAGCAAAACACCGCCCCGGCAGCAAAGCAAGAAGAGTCAGTGACAGGAAGCAAGTTGGCCACGCACTCGGGACATGGACAATTCATACTGAAGGATCTCCATGGTAGCATTGCAGGGTTTGGGGAGACAACCCCTGACAGTAGGAAATCGTCGCCTCCGAAGACAGAGTCATGGGCTCCCTTGTTCTAAATATCTGAGTTTTGAGGGATACTTTTGAATGAATGCCAAAGCTTTGACGGGTTACAAGCCATTCAATGTGGGGCAGTAAACCTAGGCCACGCCCACAGTACATGGTCACTGGAAGGGCCAAGATTCTGCCAGAAGCTCGCGCATCAACGCGGATAGGAACAGGTACGGGAGAAGCCACGTCATCGAAGGTCCCAAGCTCCAACCCTGAGAAAGCTGCATGCACGCCGGGAGCCAAAAAGCTGCAACGAAAAATCAAGAACATGCATGATACCTCAATGACGGACCCCGCACAACACTTCTACTCAGAAAGCGCATCTCAGAATCACACATCTCCGTCTGAGCCCCTCCAATGGTCGGCAACGCCTGCACTTAAACCCAGAGAATGGTCAACCATCCCTCTGCCACGTGCAAGGTTGATATGGACACCTGTCATGCAGTTCTTCTTCCCTTGAGACAACCGATTCTGGACAACCACCTGATCGTACTGGAGCAGCTGTGGGGGGCATAGTCATGCCGCGAGTGAAAACGGTGCATGAGCATATCACTGTAACTAGCCATAGCACATGCTTTTGCGGCGGTTTTCTGTTTCTGTCCATGCACTAGGCAGACCCCACAAGCCACCCAAAACAAGATAGAGCTGCAAAAAAAAGTGGCAATAGCAGATCGACGATAAATTTCTCTTGTAGAAGCCCAACATCCCCTCTGCCTCTGCTTGGGGGGCTGTAGGGGATCACCACAAATGCACCCCTCCTTGGACATTTCATTTGAGTGAGGATCAAGCATTGCTATGTGTCACACCTGTCATCGGGAAGTTGTTGGTCTCTCCGTGGGGCCGCGGAAGATACGCAAGCTCCCAATCATTTTCAGGATGAAGGGACCGAGGGGCCAGATTGTCTAATTACATTGGAGGAGGTTTGTGATCGCTATAGACTGCAGCTTGGCCCCGCCTTATTTGGTGATCGACCTCAAGCCGGGCGCTTCTCTAGATAAGCTGATGAAGATCGAGTGCGGATTTCATTGAGACATACACCCAAAGCAAAGGAATAAGAATGTTGTGGCACCATCCCAAGCATCTCATAAGAGACCATGGTGTTGTGCACTTCTGAAAACTGGTCTTGATGCATTCCTGGTCGTTGAGGGTGGCACATCGCGAATTACGCAGCCAGCGGCGGCATTCTACTGCGGCATTCTCATGCTCCAGACTTCTACATGTGTGCAATGCTGTCCCCTGAAAGTAACCGAGATGTGGAGTTTCAGCTGAAGTCAGAGCCCTCCACGCAGAGTGACTTCCTGTCATTATGACATATTCTTGCAGGACCCTCTACAACTCTACTGTACCTCTGCTCAGCAGTGACCGAGTCAAGAGTCGCTTGGGGCTTCATAAGCATCTTGCTCAGAGCACCGCAGATGTTGCATGCGAAGCTAGTGCGGCTCCTGGTCTTTCCTCAAAGGCTCTGTTTCACAGGACGAAGTGCCGTGGAATAGATATAATGTGATAACACGCTAACCCGGATTTGGATTGGAGGTTCTTCAAAAACAGCACTACCATCAATTTCCAACTTTACTCTGGGAGTCCATTTTCCAGCTTTGGTTCTTGCAGAGTCTTCGAGTTCTGCAGGGGCTATCTACATCCCGCATGATGCAGGGATTCTGGAAACCGAAGGACCGGGCTGAGCGCGAACGTCACCTGCCAGTCGGCAGCATTCAACGGAGGGGTTTACAGATTCGAAAGAAGTCTTGCGCTGCATATTGACATGTAGTTGCTTCTGTCGAAGCATTCAGGATGAAAATGGAACTATACAATCTTGTAGGGGGACAATGAAACATACCGGGCTTGCTCGTCTGCAAAGGTTCTCAAAGGCCCACTTCTCAAGCTCTGCATCTGAGTTGGATCCCCGCTTCTACGCCATTACTCAGACCTCCTCAGCGGAACTCATGTGTTGACCCATGTTGGCGGCGGACCAACAGCAATAGGGCAGATTGCGACTTGACGCATGCAGGAGGAAGATGGGGGGTCTGTTTCCTCAGGGTGTGCCAGCAGTTCTGACAAAGACCAAACCAAACTGACCTGCAAAGTCATCGTGCTTCGAAATACTTGCTTGCAGGGCTACTTGAAGTCTTGTACCTAGAGACGATAATTTCATGGGGCATTTCCTCCAGGTTCTCCGGGGCCCAAAGTCATCACAACAACATGCAGAGCCGAGGTCTAAAAATTGCGATGTATAAACCCCAACCACCCCACATTGCCTCACAAGTCGCCCCGCGCAAGCAGTTTCACTCTCACTTACCTAGACCATTACTGTTGAAAAAAGATGCTTTGGGCTGCCAGACTCTGGAGCAGGCCTTCTTGGCAAACGTCATGCACTCGGAGCCTCTCAAGGCATCTCGAGCAGTTGCCGGAAGAATCGAAGGTAGCAATGATATTGTGCAGTGGCCATGCAATGGCAGCTGCAGTAATGGGAACGGAGAGCCTGACTAGGATCCCAAAGGGCCTGACTGCAGAGACATGCATCGAAACTTTGCAAGATTCAGGCTGCTGCGACCGCTGTTGCTACTACTACAAGACTCGCCGAGCTCCACCAAACATGCTTACCCATATATGGGACTGAAACCAGGGATCAGGTAATGCCTGAGCAAAAATTCTGTAAATATGCATAATACTAACTAACAATGTGTGATAATTTTTGCATGTTTGCATCTTGCCTGGGCGTGTCCTCGCCCGAAGCATGAACTCCATTCTCAGTATGCGAAAACCAGCGATTTACGACATTTTGTTGCCTTTTCCAACAACTGGCCAGCACAAGTGTAGTTGGTAATTAGGGGGCCGTACCTAGTACCAGTACAAGCTGCTAGTGTGAGCAGCCGTAGCAGGAACAGCCGCATCATCGGAAGCAGTGGCTAGCGGCAGCACCACCACTGCCGCAGACAGCAGCAGCACCACCACCATCGCCACCGTCGCCGCCAGCACCACCACCATCCTTTCCTCGTCCGCAACATGCCTGAGATAATCCTGAGGCATGCTATGCTTATGCGGGTGTGGGTCACACAGTGGATCCCTGCTTATTGTAGGAATGATTACTAATCCAGCCCCGCCTGCAGCCTCAAGAGATCAGTCCAGAAAGTGGTTTGGATTTAGATAATGAAGCCCTTTTGAGTGGCACAACTACAGCAAAAGTTGAACTCCACATCGAGGGCCCACCAATCCTCTGCGCATAATGATCACTGAGCGCAGATGAAGTAGAGCAGCAACCCTTTCGCAAGATATTCTCCTCCCGGCCTGATGAGGCAGACTCGGAGGAGTCACACCCAGCTGAGCCATCTTTGCCCAGAGCCTCATCTCACCTGGTAGACTTGCACATTGCAAGGGCATTCGGGGTGGAGTCCATTGATGCACGGAGCATCCCTCATGGCATTTGCATGTATGCATGCATCTGAGTATGGATGAGTAAATGGCTATACGGATAGCTTATGCGCCATACTGGGGCCCATTCTTCCAGCCTTGGAATTCGATAACTGTCTGAATCTGATGTTGCTTTGAGAACTGATGCTTACATGGAAGCCAGAAAACGGGGCTGAAGGTGTTGTTCTGTTCTGGTACGGTCTCATATGGCGGCTCATTGGGTCCTCATGTTGGATGTTACATAAGGATACATAGGGAAGATTGCTAATCTTTTTGACATGCTCTGATCCAGGGTACATACTCTGAGCAAGGGTACTAGTAGGTTCAAGCATGCAGAAGGAACGCGGACTTTCATGCATCAAATGGTATAGACTCGCGTGGTGCAACAGCAAACTAATTAACAATGTAGATCACGTTTTCTCGTAAGAGGATCTCCAACGAAACCACAGCCACCCGGATGGACGTATCTATTTTAGGGTCGTCTGTAATTGTTTTTTCTGAATGCTGTGCGGAGTCCTGGCAAAAACGTTTGGAGGTACGAAATAGTTGGGAGCTTATTGCAAGGCTTGACTCTGGTCAGAACCAATCGCATTTGTGCAGAGGCCTTCTGGAAGCAGAGTTTGGGGTTTCTGGTTTACAGTTTAACGCAAACTTCATCCGAATTGCACGGTCATTAGATTTGCAGATTTGGGGCTTGAGAGTGGTCATGCTCGTCACAATCCGAAACTTTCACTACAGTGTAGAGAACATATTCTGCTTTCATGCTTGGAATCTGAATTCTGGTGGCAACCACCACAGAAGCAGCCCTCGCTTAGCCCCGATGCTACTTGGGATCGGCTCTGCACATGCAAACTCAACCAGCAACCCAGCAGGTTCAAGAATACAGCTTGGACCTTGAAAAGCACTCATGGCGCTGGCCGCCAGATCCTCATGGTAGGCATCTTTCTTTGCAGGCTCAATTTGAAGACTCTTGCAATCAAAACCACGTGTGCAAGGGGCCAGCCAGGGCTGAAAAGTGATACTTGATTCATGTTGTTGGATAGCATGAAGAGCCCTGCACCAGCATGCCTGTAAAACATGTTTGGCGTGAAATTTTGGGAGCCGCCACACTGGTGGAATTGGTTAGACCTAGCAGCTGTAAAAATTGCAAGAATTCTTCAGTGAGCCTACCCTTTGATGCTACAGTGCTACAGCTTCTCACCAGGGTTACCATTCCTTGTTGACATGCGGTTTTGCAGGAACATTCGCCAACACCCAAAAGTCCTCTTTGATGGCTGCACGAGCTTCCTCTATTCGGGCTTGCAGAGTGGGAATCTCCTCGCTGCAGTGGCTCCAGGGCAGGACGCTCGGGCTGTAGGATCTGAAGCTCTGTGGCTTCGGGTTTGATCAAAGGAGTTGGCTTTCAGGCCCAGGCTGGGATTTACTGGACCCCATGCTGAAGGGTCATCGTTCCGAGCGCTTGTCATAGCAAATGTGCTGCCCCAGTCAAAAGAACAACAACGCTTGTAGGTGTGCATTGCCCCCATCACCTCCATCCTAATAAAGTCCAAAGCCCGAGAGGATCCTGCACCATACAAGCCCAAAACTGCGCAAACAGAATCCTGAGTGCAGCATTGTTTGTTCAGCATTGATCATAATTTCTACAGGTGCCGGTGTTACTGTAGCACTATCTACTACTGCTGTGCTTGACCCTACTGCAATTACGCTGATTGCTACCGCCGCGTTCAAGAATGCCTGACTTGTCAGCTTATGCCTTACTGCCGACAGCATCAGGATTGCGCAGAACTGTGACATGCAGCCATACTCCCGCCTTGCAAGATGTCTCGATCTTGCGCACCGCCTGACGACGTGTTGAGCTCGTAAAGCTTAGGGCTCTAGCAGGGCTAGGGATCATAGGTTGACTGACTTCAGGGATACAAAGATTGAGGGCAATTACTGGGGCCTAGACTTGCTGGCTTGCAAGGTTACGGATAGCTGCTGAGGGTGCTAGGGTCATAGGATTTGATTTAATATTTCCTCGCGTTCAGGGTCAGGCTTGATACATGTATTCATCAATTTCGAGGCTTGCGGTTTGGAGAGCAAGCGAGACACCACTCTGATGATCTTAAGTATTTGGGTTGTAGCCATGCAGCATGCCATCTACAGCGTCAGACACGACATCCCCCAGTCCCAAACCCTGGAACCTAACCTTGGCTTGCTGCCCAGGCCTCCTCCATGTTAGTGAAGGGACTATGAAGCTGAGATCGCTGAAGGCTCTTGCATTACTGTTATTCGTAAGATTGTGATTATCAATATTTGTATCATGGTTGTTATAGACCATTGTTACTCTTGGACTTTTATGCCAAGGCGATAACCAAGCTTGGCCAGTCTGGCCTCTCCAAGTGTTCCAAGTCGTTGGTCCCGAGCTGTCTCTCGCTCCTCTAGGCCCGCGTCTCAGGTGGGAAATTTGGCATGTTGGCTCAGAGCTTTCAACCTAAAGTGTGTTCGTGTTCGTGTGGGCAAATGAGGAATAAGAAGGCTTTGGTACGAAGATCACACCGGATGGACTGCACCTCACGTTTCGGCTTACTGGGCATTTGCTACCTCAAAACCCAAAAGCCTGCCATAAACCCCAGAGCCACCCTTAGACCACAAGACCAAGCCCAATAGCTTGCTGCCGAAGACTGGGCCCCTTACCATCTGAAACCCTCGAACCCAACATGCTGAGGCTTTCCAAACCATACGCCTCACATCCACCATCCACTCAACCAGATTGCCTGAATCATACAACGCACTAATTATATGTCACGAAATCCTGCAAACAAAGCCTCCGCCCCCAATGTAAACACCAAATGCTATCCTACTTCGTATCCTTACTAGAGGGACCTCAGAAAGGTACTACATACTTTTCGGAACCCCCCATATTCTATGCGGAGGCCTGGAACGCACTGCGCCAGCTCTCAGCCGCCAACAAGCGACCGTTGTAACCTGGCGGCCGGCCAGAAGATAATCTTTGTGGTCCCTGTTTTGGAAGATGGTGTAGGGATCATGCAAGGTTTGATGGGTTGTAAATCAGCAACATGAGGGTTCTACAAGGGCGTTTTGAAATTATGGACTCCCACCTACCTCTCTTTACAGTTTTCTGACAATCACGTATAGGGCTTGTTGCCTAAATGGTCACAGGGCTAGTAAGACCGCTAAGTAAGGTCCTGTTAGGATAATGTCAGATTCGTAGGAATGCTTAGACCAGGTCTGCAGTTCGAGGTATCCTTCTCAAGGGACAGGGCCCTGGTGCTGGCCTCTTAAACTTCCAGTATACCTCGTGAACCTCAAGTAGCGGGTTGCGGTCATCGGGCACGCAGCCACGAACAAGCATGTGATTCTTTACGGGAAGAGTACGGCTATGGCTTGGCACCGGAAACAGGCTCGGGCGGGCTTTCAAGCTGTCCCACCAGGCGACTCTCAACGGCGGTGGCGGTCAGGCGCTGATACTCCTGTGCAGAAAGGTCTGAGGGAACCAGGCTTGAGTTCCCTTAGGCCTTTCCTGTCACAGGATGTTGTGGGGGCTAGCTAGATCTTTGCAGAGTTTCAGCACGATCTAGACAGGGTCACGGCCTCTGAGCCCTGTGTGGTTCCCACACTACTCCCCGCGTAAACCTTGAAAGCCTCGAGCAGTTCCGCAGAACCACAAGGCATGCCCAGAAAATCTCGGATGATGATTCCTCGACAAACCTGACAAACAGGCTGAGTAAAGCCTCAAAAGCTGGTTTGCCGCTCCTGCGCTTCATCCATGCGCTCCGCTACTTCTCGGGCCAACTTCTGCAGACCTCCGCTCGAGAGGAGGCATACGGGTCCGCAGTGTACAGGGTAGCAACCATAACAGCTGTAGCCATGTAAAAACCTGAAAGCAACGAGTATGAGATTGCCCGCAGCCCGAATAATTCCAAAAGAGATTAGATACAAACCAGCAAGTGCAATTGTCAAAGCAAGTAAATCGTACTCTCTTACTGGGGATCCTCCCTAATGACTTAAATGGGATCCCTTCATTCTCTGCGTGGAAAGAAGCTAACGCTCCGAACACCCCCAAAAGTCTTGGCAATCCTGAGGATCAGAGAAAGCCTATGTCTATGTCCTAAACCGCCTCGTTTCCAGACAGGACATACTCTTCCCTGAACTTTCATGAATTCTGAAACCTAGACAGACAGGGCTCCTCCATGTCTTTTCCATTGGGTTCATTGGGAGTACTATCATATATATATATATATCCTGATGTACCCTATACATCCCTATATACCCCTTTACAGGGACCTAAGGTAGGGTGGGTAGAGGCTGCCTCTGTCCAGGAGAGCGTTGGACCGCTCCTCCAACCCACCGAGTTGGATTTCCTCCTGCTCCTCACATTATATGAGGCATGTAGGGATCTTCAAGGCATCTAAGAAACATACATACATACATACATACATACATACATTAGGTTATAAATCTATGCATCTACATAAATTTATAGAATGGATTGCAAGGGCCTGATAATGCTCATCTATAAGCTCAGTGTCTCAGATGACTAGCGTTGTTTTGGTGGTTGAACCTGGTAAGATATCATTCCTTATATAAAATACCATAACCAAAAGGAGAATGTAATCTTACTCTATATTGGGTACCATGGTATCCCCAAAACGAATACTACTCAGGTGTCCAACCGCAGACCCAATCAATAATTGAAACTAAACCTGGAACATGAGACTGCCATTCAAGGTAAGGCCTCCTGCAGCATACAGGGTCCTCAGACAATAGTAACTTCACCATGGCCACTGTCCTGGATCTGCTGGACACATCTCAGCTGCTCCTCCTGAACAGGATGGATTCCTTGTGAGACACCTACCTATGCTGGGAACCCCAATTTAGCAGAGTGTGCCGTGGGGTTCCTTCTGGATCACGCAGGGATCATTTTAGAAATTCCCATCATACGCTATCGGCCGGCCAAGTGTTTGTACTCATAGGTCTGCCATCGAGACTGTAGATTTGACAGATTCCCAGCATTCTGGCCATACCTGCTCAGCCGGAAAAGAAGGGCGATTCGTACCCGGGCATAGACTGCTCAGATTTGTCTTGCACTAGCGCGCCAATATCGGCAAGAGCAGATGACGCTACTGCATGTACTTCCGGACAGAGATTCGTGACGTGATTCGCACGACTGCGGGTAGACAAAATGATAAACAAACCAAGCATCGCCAAGACTGCAATCATCATATTGTCGTGCAATCACGACGATGATTACTCAAACTGACCTGTGACTGGTATTGATCGTTGTCGTCGCCGCCGCAGTCGTCCGTGCCTTTGTCCACCGACATCGCAGTACCATCAATAGCTGCAGGAAAAGCAGCAGCCGCAGCAGCAGCAGCAGCAGCAGCAGCAGCAGCAGCAGTGGCGGCGGCAGCAGAATCAGCGGTGGCAGCGGCAGCAGCTGCAGTCATGTTACTGGCACTAGTCACTAGTAGTAGCCAAAACGGCAGCCATTCAGTGGAAAGTTGTTTACTTGGTCCTTGAGGTCATCGAGGCGACCAAGCAGCTCTTCCTGAGCCAGGCTGACCCGTTCCAAAAGGATCCCATGTAGACGTTACCTCTTAAGGTTGGCCATAACATGACCTGCGGCATACCGGGAGTTTGGTTCAATATCAACTTCTACACAAGGTGCCATAGAACTGTCACTGCAATCTATTCAGTCATGAACACGCTGGGCAGAATTGACTTCAGGAGTGAGGCCAAACTACCTGAGGGGGCTGTAGGTCGAAGCAATGGTTAAGTCTGTCAGGGGTTTGCGTTTTGCAGCTTGCATGGGGACAGGGCGGAAAAGTGCTCATATTCAAAGGCTTGCATGCTAAGCTGAAACATGCAGAGACTCTGTAGCTAAACTCAAAGTAGCTTGTCAACTTCAATCTATGAGAGGCGGGACCTTATTGTGCCTCCCCGCATAGCCTTTAACGTTCAAACTCCGCACCGAACATCCAACACGTGCTCTGACATCTTCCCTCCCAGCAGCCTTCACAGTGGAGGCGGCCTGATCAGCCTGAACCAAGGGATGGGCCCATACTTTTGGGTTGCGTGAAACACCTTTGCGCTAAAAGCACGTCTTGCTTGCCTGCATGCAGATTGTTGTTTATACGTTGACGCCCAGAATACAACAAATTGTTTTTCTCGAGGGGGGCTGAAGAGTCTAACCCATGTGAAAGTCCTTGACCAGAATTTGCATGCCTACACGGTAAATACTCATCTGGTTGCGCAGCAATCGTTTTTTGATGTCGACACTGCAATATTGTGAAGAGGACTAAATTTGTTCGGCTGATGGCTTGCACGCGGTAGCAAGCATGCTACTTGTGGAAGTCAGATTCCGCCAGGGTCATCCGGAGCTTTGCTGTGTGGTTGACGGTCCCCAACATCTAGTTTGTTGAAAGAGGTCAAGTTCGGATGGGGTCTAGCATGGAAAACCTCTTGATGTAATCGCTTCCGCCGGCCTGTTGCTTCAGCTCTTGGCTAACGTCCTGCATTCAGCATCCGCGGAACAGCCATGCATGATACCAGTAAAGGGCGTTAGGCTTTTCACCGTAGGAGTTTTACTTTGGAGCAGGGGGGGGGTTATCTACACGAGGGGGCTTTCTCTGATTCTGGAGCCTTTTGGCTTGACGAACACACCTCCATGGCTCGGCCAACTATGCATACATAAGCGTTCTAGTAATGCTCTGCCATCTCCTGCAGATCAAACCCCAAAACCCATGGCCATAACGCCTGCCACCCTGGAATCAATAGCCTGAGCAGAAGAGAACCGTGCAGCGCAAATCTACGAATCCATTCCATATCCCACTGCCCTCAAGATCGTTCCGGAGTAGGTCGAGAATGTGATTGCTGCAAAGCACTGTCACTCTTCCGATGTCCGTGGCTTCATCTAGGCTGTGCCAGGAGGGCAGGACAGCCGCAACAAAAACACAAGCATGTTGATTATACCTAGGAATCTGGTTATATGAGTTGCAAGCATTCCACGGTACATGTGCGATGTCTGTGATGCACTCCTGCACGCGCTGCAGGACCTGCTGTATCTGCTCGCCAGATTGCTGCGAGATCTCCCTCGACCTCACGTACGGAAACTCTGGAAAGTGGGTTTGCGCTTGAGGCATGCAGTGGCTTGGCTTTTGGGTAGGTCCTGGGGCCTGGCCTTACGTTCAGGGCACCTTAAGCTTCACATCGCACGTCCGGCTTCAGAGCTCTTTCAAAAGCACGTTTTCTCTGCTTGGTACCAGCCCCAAAAGTCATCATCTCCTTAAATTCGACCCTGAAAATCCCACTGCCGACCACACGCTACCCTGACACACACGCTCTCATCTCCGAAGGCCTTCTGAATCACTGTTCCAGGTACATTTCCCTGCACGGAGCGCACTGAACTGAGATACCCTGACGTGAACCGAGCACAAAACCAAACAGCCTCTATCGTTGCACCTCAAACCCCAAACTAAAAACTCACTTGAAGGCCAGAAATGCGTGTCCTCTGAGTTCAAGTTCCCTACAGAAACAAACACTCAAGACTCAAGGACTGAGAATTCGTAGGTTTCACCCCAAAGCCCCGGCTACCAAAACTCCACCCACCCTCCTCTGAAGTGCTTCTTAGGTACACTCACCCCAAACCCTAGATACTCAAGCATGAAACCCTCAAGCTGTGTAACAATGTGACCCCAATCACCACGAACCCCACAACCCAGCCAATGCAAAACACCAACCACCCTTTAATTCCTAAACCCTCATCTCCAAAAATCTCTGCAATTCCCGGAAAAAGAAGGAAGAACCAAAAAAAAAAAACAATTTCTGAAATTACCTGAAAACCACCTAACTTCCCTACATCCCTTGGACGCCTTCTCATGGACTCCTGGCCCAGGCTTTCCAGCTTGGCACTCAAGCACTGCAGCTCAGAGCTGCTTGCCAGGCTCCGAGTCTCCCGGGGGCGAAGTGATGTGGTTTCCCAAAAATTATGGGTACCTTTAAAGGGATTACAGGGATTATATAGGGGATATATAAGGTTTTAGGGTTTAGGTTTCCCAAAGAATTATGGGTACCTCTAAAGGGATTATAGGGATTATATAGGGGATATATAAGGTTTTAGGGTTTAGCGTTTCCCAAAAATTATGGGTACCTTTAAAGGGATTATAGGGATTATATAGGGGATATATAAGGTTTTAGGGTTTAGGCTTCCCAAAAATTATGGGTACCTTTACAGGGATTAATTATGGGTACCTTTACAGGGATTATAGGGATTATATAGGGGATATATAGGGTTTTAGGGTTTAGGGTTTCCCAACATTATGAGTACCTTATTGGGCCTGATATAGGGGTAATACAGGGATAATGGAAAATGGACCATAATATTTGGGGATCTATATTGCGGTGCCCTTATTTTGGCAAAGTACCATATGTGAGTTTATCAAATTCGGTGTGCCTTTAGATATACTGGGGATACACGCAGTGCTTAACGGTTGGGAATTCGGAGTTGTTAAGATTGCCCGGGCTTTGTCTGCATGTATGTCCGGTTCGAGATGACGTCAACTTTTGCCCGGAGATTAAATTTGGGCGCCTGCAAGGAATTGGTATGGGTTTAGGTTTGGGTGATCGAGTACTGCTTCGAGCACTTCCAAGATCAAGTTTAACAATCATGACAGCAGGCATGGTAATCAAACGTTACAACAGTGATCACGCTGCGGCTCCAAAACAGGAATTCCCTGATAGAGCTCTCACCTCGATCTCCGCAACGCGTCGGCTTTCAGTTTCCAACGCCCTGCGAGATTCCTGCATCGGAAATACGAGTTAAGGGCCAAATCACGGGCGGCAGCAGCAGCAGCAAGAGCGGTGTGACCAGCCCCAGCAGACTACCAAGCACATACTATACTTCAGCCCCCCCGCAGGCATGCCCCAAAGCCCGACAGGGGAATCAAAACAACGCACACTAATGTGAGAGGTGACGAATCTTCGCATGAACTCAGATTACTTTCAAGCCTTGGTGGGGTGTGATGAACTTTACGGCGTTCGGGCATTGCTTGTGCTGTCATTTGGCGTGTTTAAGTAACTTTCTCTAGCTACTCCGCAGCACTGCTCCTGTCCTCAAAGCTGGCGTCTACCTAAGCATTGCACACGCAAGAAGGATGGGCAAGAACACATGGCATTTAGAGTCTCCTTGTGTTTCCCAGGGTATCTTTAGATCGTGGTATTCTAGGCCATACAACGGGGACACAGTCTTGAATCTTACCATAAATAGGGTCACAAAAAACTGCTACTACGGTTGCCATGTTCAGCCTTCAACCCTACAATGTTTTTCCCTAGCGGACCGTACTGTATTGAACCAAAGGACCAACAAATGCAAACAAAGCCTCTGCCTCACAGGACTCAGGTCTGAGGGTTAAGGCCTTCAGGTGCCGCCCAGGCGTGAAGAGGGGCACTGTGGAAGCTTAAGCGCAAGATGCGCCCAGAAACATGAAGATCAGCTTGAAGAGTGGGGGGAATTGCTTCCAACTCTCGTAGCCTGCAGGTGTTCTCCAGTACAGAATTGGTGACACGCCCTCAAGTTCAAGCCGGCAATTCCAGATACCCCTCTGAGACGCGTAACCCGGATTCTCCTGAGCAATTCCAGACACCAATGGCCCAAAAGTCTCGCTGCTCCAAGCATTGTGCTCCAACCCTGGCCATGTAGTTGTCACATGATGCTTTGCGGTCTTGGTTTTTGAGCTTTGGGTTAGCAAACACGCTGAAAAAAGAAGTCTCCGTGACTGCTTGCGTGACAGTACTCACGCTTTTGACGCCATCTCTTCTAAAGAGTACTTGACAGGATGGAGCGAGTTTTAATTACGCCGGTAGCTGTCATGCTGCAACGGCCGCTGGAGTGCTGTGGTCACGATCCTCAACCTCTCGCTGCCATTCTAGATCTACTACCATCCCAAAACATCAAAACATCAAAACATCGACATGCACGGTACACAGCATGATTTCTAAGAAGATGACAAGAAGTATGCAATAGGTATTGAAGGAAACCATCAAGAAAGAAGGAGACGCTGACCATGATGATGAAGAAGATGACGACGCAGCAACAAAGAGAAACGGGCAAGAATCACAATAAGAAACCAGCAAGACAAACAAGACAAGTCGTCCAGTACCAGTTGCGATTCAGAATGATCTATTAGAGCATAATATTACATATTATCGTATACTGTAACCATATACTATATTATGGTATCATGTAAGGCCAAGTTGCCAATTTTCGGGTGTCCTCAACAGCACGGGTTAACCGCGTCTGCTCAGCGCCCAAGAGGTTGAGCTCCTTGTGGAGGGAATCGAGGCCTGGCTTTCAGGGCAGATAAGCTTTGGCAATATTAGTCCCCAGGAGATTCTTGAAGGCTATATGAGTTGTAGTGTGACTCGTAGTATCCCCCATAGTAGCCCCTATAACAATCCCCTCTAAATATATGTAAAAAAATATGTGTATATATATATATGTATGGGGTTCCCAAAAATTTGGGGGGTGCCCATTTTGGGGGTCCCCATTTTCAGGGTCCCCATAATAAGGACTACAGTATTTGGTGGTCTCTATCACAGTACCCCTATTTAGGGCAACTACCCTATGGGGAATTTAGGTATCCAGCCAGGAGACCTTGCTGGCTCAGCATCTCTCTGCTTTGGCCTCAGCTGTGTTGTGGTTTAGGGTTTAGGGTTTAGGGTTCAGGGTTTAGGGTTTAGGGGTGGCCCTAACGAAGGAGCCAATGGCATAAGCTACTGTGGGGGGGTTCTCTTTGTGAGGCGGACGGGCGGGGCTGTCCCATGATAGTACTCCTACAAACATCATTGCCTCTCACGTTAAACACCTTCCCATCCTTCTAATTTAGCATTCTCCCTAAGGAGAGCTAGTATATTGTAGATACAAAATTTTGAGGAGCTGGGAGGTTCTTTTCTTTCGAGGGGAAGGGATGAAAAACATCACGGAGGGATCCATCAGGTCAAACAGACTGCAAGGCCAGTGGCGCTCCGAAGCCTCCGACTGGAGGGACACCTTGGGCAGTGCTTTGGGAGTTTCCGGAGAGAACCGCCATGTCACCCTGAAGAACGCCTAGAATCCCTAAGACTCCTTTTCCGGAAATACATGTATTTGCATGTCAAACTACCTGTCTTGGAGAAGCCCCCATGTTCTTCAACATTTGCATCGCATCAGGAGACCTGAACACCTCAAAACTTGCAATTTTTTGGTGCTTGAGACCCTTGACTAAGTTCTGAATTGCACAAAGTGTCAATTAAACGGGTCCACACAATTTCCAAGCTACCTCCAATCGCCGGATGTTTGCGGCTGCCTCTCAGAGCTTTGTCGCAAGTTTGGGGCTTGGGCCTTTTTAACCTGAAAAGGACCTTGTCGCAGAGACTCACGGGATGAGGGATCTCTCCATTGTAGCCCTGTTGCACCTGCTACTCGTGCCAGCCCCTGTGGTGAAACGAGGGGCCTGACACACCCCTACTATGCAAAACACAGCACCTGTTTCGGGAGGGAGCGGGCCGATTTGCAAACGGAGCCGGCCGTTTTGCAAACACATTTTGGCAGATTTAGACGAAATGTGTCGGGTATTATGCATGATTGCAGGGTCGCGCTTCCGCTTCGAAAATAACAAACTACAGGGCAGCTGGCATCTGTAGTCCAACACTTGGAACGCTAACAGCATAGAATTCAATGAAATTCAACACCTGTCCAACCATCCACGATTTTTGCTAGCTCTATGTTCACCCCTGCCCAGGCCTCGTCAAACCGATCGAAAAATCGCTGCTTCAGCTGATTCAGGTTCTGCTCCTTCGATGGTCTCACAATCGGATTGCATCATGATTGACAGGGCTACTGCAAGGAAGCTTTACGATGTCAACGGAGTTTGACTGCACAAGCACATGATATCTCCCGCATCTCTCACCTCTTGAAACCAATCTCAGAATTGATAACTGCTAGCCACTGCTGTCGTGATAGTTCCCTACTAAGCCCTCAAAGGATTATACATGTGCTTATAAAATACGACGCAAGCCACGCCGTCACAACTGACTTCAACTGCCGAGTAGGTAAAGGACCTGGGCTTGACCATGCAACAGGCATAGCTACATTGTAACATCTCGTGGCCAGGCGCATGCAAGGGATCCCCGCAGTGTGGACAGTGCTACCATGTCATTCAAGTCGGAGGTGCGCTGCTCTTCGACAGCAGGGGTCCGGAACTATTTCCAATAGCTGTTATCAAGTCCAAGCATGTGTCCGCAAATGAGCCTCAACTTCATGGCACAATGCGCGGTTCAGATTGCAATGTGAGGTTTCTTGGCCAAATAGTGCCCCCAGTGGCAAATGCATTTACAAGGGCCCTGCTGCACTGCATCGGCTTACACTTTGGCATGTTCTCATGCTTGTTTTGCGGCTCTTGCCAGCGAAAATTGGTCGCACACGAGTCAAAAACTGACATGGTGGCATGGTCCCTGCTGTACGCACCCTTCATGCTTTCCACTGTGCGATCGCCGCTGTGACCTTGCTGTGCACAAGCTGAAGTTCCGCAGTACAAACCAGGCGTGGCGTAAGGGAGCTAACATCTAAGGCTTCTTCCAAGCCTTTCGCTTCAGCTCTTGTGACCGCCAGTAGCAACGCTTTTGCTCGAGGGTGCCCTTGTCAAAGTAGCCGGGGCAACCTCGGCTAAGGCTTGAACAGGCAACGCTTTTCTGGTTCAACATGGCGGCAGACACTTAATAACAATACAGCAGAATGTGAATCTCTCAAGAACCTGGTGACTGAACCAGCCTCCTAGACGACTCCAGTGCACCTGGCCATGCTTGCAACGTGGGCAAGACGGCAAAGCGCCGAGGACACGGCCTTCTGCCACACGAGAAACCAGATCCTCCTTTTTGCCAGTTCTTGTTTGCTCATTCTTCTGCAGCTCGGCAATAAGTGCGGTTGCCGTAGAGGAGCTGAGCTTCTCCTCTATTGCCTGGATTTTCTTGAACTGTGCTGCAGTGAGAACGCCTTGAACTGAGGTGAGCTTGCTAAGGCTGGATGCGCCTGCCGGACGTTTCAAGGCCTTGGCTGGCTTGCCACTTATGTCTGTATCAGCCTTGCGCTTGCTTGCCTTGCTTGGCTGGCTACTGCCCAACAAGCCCTTCCACAGTTCAAGAAGTTTCTTCTGGTCAGCCTTCTTGAGATCCTTAAAGCCGTCCAGCTTCTCAGGGGATGCCGGAAGGTTCGCGGTCATCCACTTGGCACCCTTCATGCGTGGGAAACACTCGAAGTGATGCCAACGAACTGCTCCTGCTAGGGCCATCGTGCGCGGATCCACCTCCTTTCCGTCCATTGTCATGTCATTGATGCCCTCCACCTGGCTATGGCCCACGCGAAGCGAGTCCTTCACGATCTTGGCCATGCAAACACGGCAGGTGCTCATGCTGGACTTGGCATACTCCACAGAGAAGCAGTTGGTCTTCGGCATGGCTACTGGAGAACAGATCTACAGCTCCAACTAGTTAGCTGCCTGCGCATGGCTTCTACAAGTAACATCTCCCCTTGCAAGCATGCTGTGACTTCATTTCCCACTGCGAAAGCTGACTTGACATTTGAGAAGAACGCAAACGGACATGCTTGGATACGGAGCACTGCTTTAAGAATCTCCTTGCTGCCTGGGCACAAGCACTCGGACGAAATAAAGCAAGTGGACTTGCCACTGGAGCCTTTGCTACCTAGTAACTCGCAGAAGACTAGGTGACTAGGTATCCACATCACACGGATCGCCCGAAACTCATTTCGCACAGGCTGAGGGTGCAAAAACGATATGTAAGGACGAGATTTGAGGTCTAAAGGTTGGATGGCTCTAGGCTAAGAGGTAGCACTTACGCCCTCGTACTGATGGGCACAAACCCTCGCACCCACACCTAGACATATGAGTCCTAACATAAACTTGAAGAAGCTTGTGAGCTACCATCCCGCAATCCACCCCAAAAGATCTGACCTGGAATAGTTTGATGTAATTCGACGGTCCAAGAGAAACTCGAAGACTCGCAGCCTAATATCATACTATAAGAATATACTATAAGAAACTACTACAATCATACTACTTCTCTCTCCCCGCGCCTGACGCTCCGACTCCTCCTGCAGCTGCTGCCTTTCTTCCGCAGCTCTCTGGTGAAAGGGCACAATCCCCCCCTAATATTAAAACCACCCACCCTTAAAAGGGTATATAGGGGTTATTAGGGTTTAAGGTTTAGCCCCCCAGCCCCCCTAATATCAAATATTCCCCATAGTGGTATATCATAATATATTGAAAAAATCTAACACTAGGGGGGTTGGGGGGAGTTTAATATTAGGGCGAGGGGATTAATGTGGTCGGACACTTGAGGACTTAGTAGCCGTTGGTGTAAAGTCGCAGGCTCGCATAGCCGAATTCTGAGAGCATGCGGCCAAGTGCCTTGAAAGCGTTTAAAAACTGCAGTGTGCTTCTGCTTGTTCTTGTTGAGGGATTCCAACTAACTACATGGAGCCCTTGCCACCTGAGCCTGGTTAAACTCCCAGACCCTGTACAACACACAGCTAGACTCGAAAATCATCTATATCTGGCAAGCTTTGGCGCAATCTATCAAATAATTCAACATGCTTTTGCAAACCTGTCCATGTGCAGCCCCCCTGCATGCCCTTCCCGCCTAAGTGAGGTGCGGATCCGTTCAAGCGCTGCATCTCGCAGCACCTCCGCCTCGCCTAGGCTAAAGGGGGCTAGGTTGAAATCCAGGCTTGGGCCTACTCTGCAAAGGACACTTCGTCAATTTGGGAGACTGGCATAGACTTATAGACTGCTAGTCTCACGAACCAACCCCAACTCGCAGTTGCGATCCCGTGCGTGACAAGCAAAAAGGTAGAGAAGGGAGGTAGCTGTAGAGCAGGGCTTGAATGCATGGAGAGTCTACAAAATTTTGAATTTAGGGGTTTCAGTTCTTGTTCATTGCATCGCCTCCTTCAAAGAGCCCGTCGCCTGAGGTTGTTGGATAAGTTGGAACTTTGCTGCTGCAAACAGATTTCCTGAACTTGGGTGGAAGCTGCTGGTTGATTGGGGTCCAGAGTCCAAGAAGGGTTCCCTAAATTCAGATTCTGACTCAGGTGTAGAATGCCGCAGACCCTTCTCAGGCCCTGCCCTGCACGCAAACTACTAAACCTGGTACTCTTCAGAAGACTTCCCCTCAGCAGAGGTGACATACTGGCAAAAACTGCTGCAGGGCGCCCGAAGCAGCGCGGATGCGATCGAGCACGACTGTTTGGATCCTCTGCTCGAGCCTCCACAGTTTAAACCTAAATCCCTGTGAACCTTATTTAGCAACCTCCCCGGGTACTAAACACCCCCTTTTCGCTGCAGGAAAAACTCTAGAGTTAGAGGTTCTGAAAAGCTAATCACTGCTGGGCATGGGGCCTGAGGCATGGGGACACAAGAGATCTTCATAGCCAGACCGAGGTCAGGTAAAAGTACCTTCAAAGCTCCAAACCCGAAGCCAAGATGGAATGCTCCGGATGTCAAGGAACCCATGACCTCCCTAACACTCTCATGTTCAAGGCCTCAGAGTTCAAAGTGTCGGTGTGAAGCGGACTAAGGGAAGGGACAAGCTAATGGCGTTGGGCCATGCTTCAGGCTGGCGTAGCATGACCGAATGTGGAGTACCACGTGCAGGCACAATCCCTCTCTTTGATCTTCCTATGAACTTGCAAAGTATTGAGGGGAGGGCCACTAGCAGAGACTTTTGACACCCGTGGATACTCATGGCCAAGTAAGGCATCCCCAATCTCTAGTCCCTCCACTTTCAGCATTATCCCCAGCACAACTCAAAGCTCCAGCATAATTAGCTACAACAGGCGCCGCTGACAATCCTACTTACTACTAATTATTACCACTATCATGATTACATCCACCTATTGCATCTCACTTACTAGTCCTACTCTTCGAAATGCTACAACCATTCGCACCATGTCCTGAGCGCTGGCCTTTGCTCGAGGGCCTCCAGGGCATACTTGGCAGAGTCCGCTTCTCGACTGAGCCGTGTTGGGATCTCTTTCACGGCTGCCTGTTCACAAAAGCTCGCTATGCACGGTGTCAAAGTAATGTTTGGTCAGGGTAGGAGTATTAGAAGAGGGTTTGGATACCTCAGAAGCGCTTGTACCTGACTGGAGGGGTTGGCTTATGCCAGCAATCAGGGCGCTTGGCGGTATCCCCCCCCACTTCAAGGCAGAGCCCGAGAGGGTAGGGAGTAGCGAGTCATTAAAGCACGTTTGTGCTACAGAGCCGACTGACGACCGCACAACCAAAGCTGAAATTTACACGTAACGTGAGCTCAAGTCTTTTGCAAGAGCCGCTGAGACGGAAACACACGGTCACCTCAAGCTCGAAACCCAAATCGCGTAAGCCTGGACCCTCGTGATGGTGACCCATTCCTATCTCCTTGCTGGTAGATTTAAATGGCAAGTGTTAAATCAGGCCTCCACAGCCGCCAGGCGCTCAGCAATGCTCGCCACTGAGCCACGAAAAGCGCCTCTTCCAGTTTGATCATTCCCCAAAATACATGAGCCGACGTCAAAATTACTTGCACGACCTCTTTGGGTTTTTGATTTAGGGCGTCCCCTATCAATCTCCAAGTTTCGGGCTCTTCCCTGGATATTCTAACCTAGATGCATTTTTGGGATTCTTGCGCGACAACTACCGCCCAGACCACGTTGTGTAAGCGGAATCTTGACCGTAAAATCACATGTACATACCTTGACGCTCTGTCCAATAAAACGTTTTTCTAGTTGGTCATGGCATGGCTTTGGAACGTCGAATCCAGGCTTCAAGCCAGTTCTCAACAGGAGATGGCGTCAAAGGAGAACACGTGAACTCAGAAAAAAAAGGAACTGTGGATGAGATAATGCATGAAACCCATGAAACCCACTATACAAGGCCTCGGTCTGATCGGTCAACCCCAGTGCGAGTCATGGCAACTCCGGCGCAGACTAACGGAGGTGACCATGTTACATGTATGCACATAGTTGGTATGCATACTTCAACACATCCTGCTACAATCCCAATGCCCACCAAGATTATGCCAGAAACCTCGGCGCAAAGAGCTCAGCAGCTCAAAATTGACAATGACTGGCGTCCCAACCTCAATTCCGAAACGAGGAAGGCCGGAGAAATAGCAAGCAATCAGCTTGGGATGAGTTCTGCATAGGCTTCCGCCTCACCCTCTCCTCCATGTTCCTGAGGCCGAAATGAGAGATGGTCTGAAACCCAAATCTGTCCCAGTCGTGCCTTGTATCTCAGAGGCCTGATCCTCCAGCTGTCGCCTGCAAGTGCGGCATTTCTTGTTTGCTATCTTTCCTACAGCAAACCGAAATTTCCACTTCAATAAAGAAAGAACAGACGAATCATGATGAGACTATAGTAGCATGGGGTAATCTGTAGGGCTCACGCAACCAACGAGCCGATAAGGCTCAGGTTGAAAAGTTTGCCATGCGTGTGGTGTGAAGGCATCTCAGGAGTTTGGCAGGGGCCTGAATGTCTGACGATGCAGGCTTGGAGGCACTATTATTTCTCTTCTTTTTATTTGCATTATGATTATGAATTTTCATTATTTATATAGAATTATGAAACACTATTATTACGCCCGCCCCCCCTCTACTTGCCCGCGCCACATGCCCGCTCATCGGAATGTGCTGT